AAACTCACACTCCTCTGGTAAAGGGACTGAATGGCCCTTAACAGAAAGCCACCCACCCCATACTCCTGGAGCGTCCCCCACAGGGTGCCCCTGGGGACACGGTCATAAGCCTTCTCCAAATCCACAAAGCACATGTGGATTGGTTGGGCAAACTCCCATGCCCCCTCCATCACCCTTGCAAGGGTATAGAGCTGGTCCACAGTTCCACGGCCAGGACGAAAACCACATTGCTCCTCCTCTATCTGAGATTCAACTATCGATCGGACCCTCCTCTCCAGTACCTTGGAGTAGACCTTTCCAGGGAGGCTGAGGAGTGTGATCCCCCTATAGTTGGAACACACCCTCAGGTCACCCTTCTTAAAGATGGGGACCACCACCCCGGTCTGCCACTCCCTAGGAACTGCCCCCGATGACCACGCAATGTTGTAGAGACGTGTCAACCATGACAGCCCTACAACATCCATAGCCTTGAGATACCCAGGACGAACCTCATCCGCCCCCGGGGCTCCGCCGCTGTGTAGTTGTTTGACTACCTCAGCAACTTCTGCCCCCGAGATCGGACAGTCCATCCCCAGGCCTCCCAGCTCTGGTTCCTCCTCGGAATGCGCATTGGTGGGATTGAGGAGCTCCTCAAAGTATTCCTTCCACCGTCCGACTATAGCCTCAGTTGACGTCAGCAGCTCCCCATCCCCACTGTAAACAGTGTGAGCGAGTTGCTGCCTTCCTCTCCTGAGGCGCCGGACAGTTTGCCAGAACCTCTTTGGAGCCGATCGATAGTCTTTCTCCATGGCCTCACCAAACTCCTCCCACGCCCGAGATTTTGCCTCGGCAACTGCCACTGCTGCACCCCGCTTGGCTATCCGGTACCTGTCTGCTGCCTCCGGAGACCCACAGACCAGCCACGCCCTGTAGGCCTCCTTCTTCAGCCTGACGGCTCCCCGAACCTCTGGTGTCCACCAGCGGGTACGGGGGTTGCCACCACGACTGGCACCGGCCACCTTATGACCACAGCTAGCAACAGCCGCCTCGACAATCGCAGAGTGGAACAAGGCCCACTCGGACTCAATGTCCCCCACTGCTCTCGGGACGTGGTCAAAGCTCTGCCGGAGGTGGGAGTTGAAGACCGTCTTGACAGGTTCTTCTGCCAGGCGTTCCCAGCAGACCCTCACTATGCGTTTGGGTCTGCCAGGTCTACGCGGCATGTTCCCTTGCCATCTGATCCAACTCACCACCAGGTGGTGATCAGTTGACAGCTCCGCCCCTCTCTTCACTCGGGTGTCCAAAACATACGGCCGCAGGTCAGATGATACGACTACAAAATCTATCATCGACCTGTGACCTAGGCTGCCCTGGTACCAAGTGTACCGGTGGGCATCCTTATGTTCGAACATGGTGTTCGTTATGGCCAAACTGCGGCTTGCACAGAAGTCCAATAACAAAACACCGCTCGAGTTCAGATTAGGTGGGCCGTTCCTCCCAATCACACCCCTCCAGGTCAAGCTGTCATTGCCCACGTGAGCATTGAAGTCCCCCAGCAGGACAATGGAGTCCCCTGATGGAACACTATCTAGCACTCGTCCCAGGGACTCCAAAAAGGGTGGGTACTCTGAACTGATATTTGGCCCATAAGCACAAACAACAGTCAGGACCCGTTCCCCGACCCGAAGGCGCAAGGAAGCTACCCTCTTGTCCCCCGGGGTAAACCCCAACACACAGGCAGAGAGTCTCGGGGCTAACAAAAAGCCAACCCCAGCCCTCTGCCTCTCACCCGGAGCAACTCCAGCAAAGTAGAGTGTCCAACCCCTCTCCAGGTCTCGGGTTCCAGAGTCAATGCAATGTGTCGAGGTGAGTCCGACTATATCTAGCCGGTACCGCTCAACCTCTGCCACAAGCTCCGGCTCCTTCCCCGCCAGCGAGGTGACGTTCCATGTCCCAAAAACTAGTTTTCTTGCCCGGGGATTGGACCGCCAAGGCTCCCGCCTTGGTCTGCCACACGATTCGCATTGCACCGGACCCTTCATGTTCCTCCTGCGGGTGGTGGGTCCACAGTTGGACGAGCCCATGTATCCGGTTCGGGCTGGGCCCGGCCGGGCCCCATGGGCGAAAGCCCGGCCACCAGGCGCTCGCTCACGGGCCCCAACCCCAGGCCTGGCTCCAGGGTGGGACCCCGGTAACCCTCCGGGCCGGGTACTCCGACTCTTCGTTTTAACCGCCATGAAAGATCCTTCGAACCGTTCTTTGTCTCACCCTTCACCTAAGACCAATTTGTCATGGGAGACCCTACCAGGGGCACTACGTGCCCCAGACAACATAGCTCCTAGGATCATTAGGGCACTCAAACTCCTCCACCACGATAAGGTGACAGTTCAAGGAGGAGTATTTCTTTTATAATTAATAAAATTGTTTTATGATATTTTTATTGTTATTGTGATATTTAGACACTACAAAAATAGGTAAATGATCACTAATATCTGTCATCAATATCCCAGTTTTAACAACGTCCTCCTTTCTATTAGTGAATATATTATCAATTATTGTTGCACTTTGGGTTGTGATCCTGGTAGGTTTGTTTATCAAAGGAACCAAACCTAAACTATATATCATATAAAACAAATCACTTGATGTTCTCAGAGCCACAGGATGTTCTAAGTTAATGTTAAAGTTCCCACACATAAACAATGTTTTGTTTTTAATATGATCCACAAACTCATTTATTTTATCTGTAAATGACCTGATGCAAGAACCGGGTGCTCTATATACACAACTTATTATTATATTTTTTGATGTGTCATTGACAATTTCCACTGTTACCATTTCCATAACATTATCTTCCATCATAGTCATTTTCTTATCTAATTTACATTTTAAATCATTGTTAATGTACAGGGCAACACCACCACCCCTTTTATTTATTCTATTTACAAAATGAAGTTCATACCCTTCTATTTGTACTTCAGTCATCCTTTCATCATAAAGCCAAGTCTCAGTATTGGCAATGACTTTGAATTTACTTTTAAATTTACCTAAATAGTCCTTTATTGTTGACATCTTGGAAACTAAACTTCTACTGTTTATGTGTATGATTGATAATGAATCATTGTTAATTAACCCACTATTTAGCTGATCTTCTGCATAATAATTACTATTTATATTTAACTCAAATAAACTTTCGTCTATTTTACTGTCAAGTTCATATATTTTCTCATGGGAATCCATTTATTCTTTATGAATTCATTTGTACTTCCATATCCATAGTTAAACTGTTTCCACTATCCATTATTTAGTCAGTGCTACACAATAAATCATCTTTTACCCTGCAACACTTCCAGATCTTTCAACTCTTTGATCATTTTTGCATTTAGACCTTCTTGCTCTCTAATCCATACAACACCATTTCTTGTCCACGTGGCTGTGATTTTTTTGTTGCTTCTTTGGCTATTGTTTCATTCTTTTTCGTCAGGTGTTCATTTATGTACACATTTGTACATTTCAGTTTTTTTGCTTGCCTCAACAACTCATTTCTGTACTTCCTACTGGTAAATCGCACTATGATGACTGGTTTTAATTTGTCTGCCTTTCTCGGAAGGGTATGACAGATTGATATTGCATCACTTTGGATATTAATGTTCTTACTGTGCAAGAAGCTCAACACTTGTTGTTCTAGTGACTGGAGTTCTTCCTGCGGAGCATCCTCAGTTGTGTTTCTATCTCCAGTAACCTATGTCTTGTTTCCAAACCAGTTATCACCAAGTCATCCCTTCTGGTATACTGCTCCAGTTCATCCACCCTCTGTTCCAATACCATGATCTTCTTGTCCTTTTCGGCAAGCTTGAATTTCAGTGTCTTGACCTCATCCATTAATGACAGTAGTTGATCCTGTTGTACTGTTAGCTTAGACAGCTCGGCTGACATAAAATTCAATGATTTTTTAATTTCCTCCATATCTTCCTCGAGTTTCTCCGTTTTTCTAGGAGGGGCCATTGTATTAGGCTTACCTCTCTCTCAGTCCTGGTTGACGGTGAATCTGGAGCCCCAGGCTGAGCCTGATGGTTGGATCAGGTGGCTGGTATTGAGGTGATGGTGGAACCTGGCTGCTGTGCCTGGAGGCTGCTGGGCCTGGAGGCTGCTGGTGAGCCCTGTTCACTTCAGTTGTTATGGATCAGGACTTGGAGGACTACGAGTCATTGTTGGTACACTCTTGCAGTGTTGACTTCCGGTCAAAGCGATTCATTTCCCCTTTGTTCTTATGATCAAATATAAGTGCTACAGTGAACCTCTTGCAGCCGAAATCCGCTCCTGCTTTCCTACTGAGCTACTGATAGATATAATGGATGGAACAGCAATGCCTACCTGGTCCCTTCCCCTGCAGCTGTCTGTCAGACGGCCATCGCACCGTGGGGGACCCGCGGGTCGCCTATTGAGTACTGCTGCTGCATGGAGATGGTCCTCTAGCCTTTAGCTGCATGGAGATGTTCATCTAGCCTTTAGCTGCATGGAGACGTTCCTCTGGCCTTTAGCTGCATGGGGATGGTCCTCTGGCCTTTAGCTGCATGGGGATGGTCCTCTGGCCTTTAGCTGCATGGGGATGGTCCTCTGACCTTAAGCTGCATGGAGATGTTCATCTAGCCTTTAGCTGCATGGAGATGTCCCTCTAGCCTTTAGCTGCATGGAGATGTTCATCTAGCCTTTAGCTGCATGGAGATGTCCCTCTAGCCTTTAGCTGCATGGAGATGTTCATCTAGCCTTTAGCTGCATGGAGATGTTCATCTAGCCTTTAGCTGCATGGAGACGTTCCTCTGGCCTTTAGCTGCATGGGGATGGTCCTCTGACCTTGAGCTGCATGGAGATGTTCATTTAGCCTTTAGCTGCATGGAGATGCTCCTCTAGCCTTTAGCTGCATGGAGATGTTCATCTAGCCTTTAGCTGCATGGAGATGTTCATCTAGCCTTTAGCTGCATGGAGATGTTCATCTAGCCTTTAATACAAACGAGACACAAAACTACTGGTAATTTAATTTTATTTAAAAAAACTGTATTTGAGTCCACAGTTGGTTTTCTTTGTTCAGTAAAAAATATTAAATTAATTCCCAAAGTTCTGAGCAGAAAGATACGGAGAGAGTTTACGAGGAGGGAGCTCAACCTCCCCCCAGAGGAGGATATAAAGTCCAAAAAGGAAGCAGCAAAGGTGACGAGGGTAAAAAGAGGCCAGTTGCTGGCGTCTTTTGCCTCATTTCTGTGCAACACAGTTCATTTGGATCATCATCCTCTGTTTATTCTAAAACAGCAGAATTCTAAAAAACACTAAAAGGAGCCAACATGTGTAAAATATCACAGGCACAAAGGTATGCGTCCCCCCCTCCCAAAGCCTCCACAGCTCCATGTTAAGCGTCTTTAGAAAGGAAGGAGTGCACGCACATTCGAGGGAGGGGGGTTTGCACATTTGCGAGGGAAAAGGAGTTGAAGACAAAAACCAGCCGGAACATCAAAAACGTCGAGTCCGCTGAACATTTCAAACTTTGGAGCAGAAACATCGATAAAAAACACTGACTTTATTCCCACAGACCCAACTAAAGTGAAACAACCCAAACCAACTGTCAATAACAAAAATAAAGGCTTCTACATGATATGTACGAAGTTTCAGGGTACGCCACAACCCCCCCACCCCACCCTGTCCCTTCAAGGAACAGAATAAATAAAACGTAATAAAAAAAAAGAAGTGTTGCTTGGATGTACACCGATGATTCATGTCACTCTGAAAAAACAGACTTGTTTACGACGTTCCCTTCCCAAATCCCCAAAATAGTGACGTTTCTTCTATGACAAATAAAACGAGGTGAGGGGGTTGCTAGGAAACCGCCTCTCCCACCTTTGTCCTTGGTTGGCAAAAATATATAGATATATATTAACAGCAATAAGTTACAATTCATTTACTCTAATTGGTTTAACAACTGTTTGAGTTATTGTTCATCTCCCATAGGAAGTTCAGTTCAATGTGTCTGTTGAAAACATTAAATAACGTTTTAACAATAATAATAATAATAATAATAATAATAATAATAAAGGCTAAAAATGAACATTAACACTGTCCTGGGTGAGTGCAGCTTGTGCAGAAATTCTCCGAGCTCAGTGCAACTCGCTAAGAAAAAGTCCTACATGTGGTCTAAAGAGTTGTGGGGGATGTTCTGGCCCATCGGGTCCTGACCGCTCCCCCCTGACCCGAGTAGACCAGCCATGCCGCTTAGTTGAGAGAGCATGGCGTTCTGGTCTGAACCAAACTGCTCCATGGCGTTCTGCTGCTGGCTCGCTGCCTGCTGCTGAGGAGGAACTCCCATTCCGGGGTGGTGCTGGTTCAGATGGTTCGGGTGCGGAGAGCCTGTCTGCATCTGGGGGGAGATGTGGTGTGGCGACGGCTGGGGCTGCATGCGCGGTGACGGGCTGGAGTGTGGTGGCTGTGACTGGGGGCGGGGTGAGGGCTGAGGGGAGCGCACCTGATTGGCCAGCGCTTGGCCCTGCAGGTGGGGGTGAGGGGACTGGGTCACCTGCTGAGGGCTCATGGGACTGCTGTGCTGGGCTGGCGACCCGCCCGGGCCCAGGTGCTGCTGCTGCTGTTGGAGCAGCCTCTGTGGCAGAGTCTGTTGGAAGATGGCTTGAGAGGATGGAGGTGTGGGCCCACTCTGGATGGGTTGAGGGCCCGGAGGTTGTTGCTGAGAACCCCCTCCACCTTGCCCCGTATCGCCTCCTGGATGGGCAGCCATGCTGTTCTGCTGCATCTGGAGTTGGTGCTGGAGCCTCTGCTGGGCAATGGTTCCAGGGTAACCTGGCCCCTGCTGACCTGGGAGGCCTCCTTGCTGCTGAGGGGGACCCTGTTGCATCCCGTGCTGGCCCATGAAGCTTTGTGCCTGTGGAGGTTGTGGCTGCTGAAACTGACCATGATTCACCCCCATCTGCTGCGGCTGCTGCAGATGTCGTCTCATGAGCAGCTCTCTGAACTGGGGCCCGTTGAGGTTTCCCATCGGTTGCCCCTGGCCCTGCATTCCTCTGCCCACCCCCCCATGCTGCTGCTGCTGCTGCTGTTGTTGCTGCTGAAGTTGCTGCTGCTGAAGACCAGTGAGCATCGGCCTCTGCTGCTGCTGCTGAAGCTGCTGCTGCTGTTGTTGCTGCTGGAGCTGCTGCTGCTGTTGTTGCTGCTGGAGTTGCTGCTGCAGCTGCTGCTGAAGCTGCTGTTGCTGCTGCTGCTGGACTTGCTGAAGTTGAGTCATGGTGGCCATGTTTGCGCCTCCCTGACCCCCCATGTGGATCCCTGGCTGTCCAGCACTCCCAACATTCATGTTCACCTGTGGGCTCCCTCCTGCAATGACGTTTCCAACAGGCCCCCCCATGGGTCCAGGTCCTCCTCCAGGAACACCCTCCTGCCCCCCGGGCCCCCCCTGAGGTCCGATGTATTTTGAGGCCCTCTGCTTGATGAAAGCTGCCATGAGTTGAGGGTTTGATCGCAGGATGCTGAGGACCTGCTGCTGCTGTACTGGTGAGCTGGGTAAATGGAGAGCCCGTAGAAGCTCCTGAAGAGCAGCCAGGGGAATGTTTCCACCAGCCGCACCAACACCTGGAACACCCGCAGACCCGGGGACAGCTCCACCCGAGACCCCTCCTCCACCTTGCTGCTGCTGCTGCGCCATATTCATCATGGCAGCGTGGCCCTGAGCTGGTTGATGTGGCGGCTGCTGTTGTTGCTGCTGCTGCTGCTGCTGAGCTGCCAGCATAGCCGCGTGGCTCATTTGGGTCATCATAGTTTGCCTCTGCTGGGGGGGCATGCCCTGACCCGCCCACTGCTGCTGTTGCTGCTGAGGATTCTGAAGGGGAGCAGCCATCCTCTGCTGTGGGAGCTGCACCCGAGGGCGGAGCTGGCCTTGTTGCAGGTTACCCTGCTGGGGTGGATGCTGCATGTGCCCACCACTGACCATCATTCCTGACAGAGCGCCTTGCTGTTGGTCCATGTGGGCTCGAGCGCCCTGATTCTGTGGCGGCATGCCCTGAGATCCAACCATCCCTGCAGGTCCGGGATGGCTCACGGCCATCTGCTGGGCTTGGCCCAGTTGGTGGTGGGGGTGAGACGGCATCAGGCCTGCGGCAGCGGCCTGTTTCTGCAGGGCCAGCTTCCTCTGAGCATCAGCCACCTGCTGAATCTTCAAAGCGATTTCCACAGCTGCTGGTGGGGGGCCTGAGGAGGTCTGCTGTGGAACTGGAGGCTGGATCTGTGGCTGACCAGGGGGTTGTTGCTGGCCTGCTACATTTCCCGCCATCACAGCACCACCAGGATGCTGTGGAGGAGTTGCAGCACCGAGAAATGGTTTGCCCTGGGACTGATGAACTGGGGAGGAGCCTGGGGGTCTGCTGGCATAAGGATGCTGCTGCAGCTGCTGGGAGCTGGACCCTGGTCCACTCTGCTGCAGCTGCTGCGGGACGTGAGGAGTCATCTGCTGCTGGTGTTGGGGGGAGTTTATGATTCCTCCTGCCCCAGCACCTCCATTCGCCATCTGCTGGAACTGATGGAGAGAATGCTGAGGAGGCATCCCTCCAGGCTGCTGCGGCTGAATTCCATTTCCAGGACACATTCCCTGCTGTGGGACGGGAGGCATGCTCTGAGTTGGGGTCTGAGGGGTCGGAGGTTGGGTACCACCAGATGTTGGGGTACTGGGAGCTGTGGAGCCATTGTGTCCCGGTGATGGAAGTCCAACTTGAGGTCCCGCTGGTGTCCCCCCAGCTGGCTGTCCCACCCTCTGCATGGTGGCCATCCTCCTCCTCAACATCTGGGCCTGCTGGAGCCTGTGCTGCAGCTGCTGCTGCCGGAGCTTCTGCTTGATGTTTAGGCAGAACGGGACGGGACACTTGTTCTCCTGGCAGTGTTTAGCGTGGTAGCAGCACAGAGCGATGAGCTGCTTGCAGATAGGACAGCCGCCGTTTGTTTTGCGTTTGCAGCCTTTCGTGTGCTGAACGACCCGCTTCATCTTCTGGCAGGACGGCAGGGAGCAGTTGGCGTTGCGACACTGGCACGCATGGACCAGGGACTGGATGCAGCGCTGGATGCTGAGACGACGAGAGTCACCAGGACTCTGAGTTGCTGCCGCCGCCTGGTTGTTGCTGTCATCGTCGAGTCCGAGTCCCAGTTTATCCATCTTGTGCTCGTGACCTTTAGTGTTGTAGCAGGTGATGCACAAATCATAATCCTGGAGATCATAAACACAAATGTTTACTCACAATCCTGAACAAGATGCAACAACAACACTGACTCTCCTCCGGGATTCTCACCTCGCAGACGGTGCAGTGGAAGCGGGTCTCCACGTGGTGTTTGCATTCATTGCAGGTGTAAACGAAGCGATCCTGGCTCTGATTGTGGAGCTCCACCAGCATACACATGGAGCTCCACTTGGACCTCCTGAGAGAGCTGAACTCCAAGTGCTTGTCTCTGGCCAGGGTCAGAAAGGCGTCTCGGCCGTCCATCAGGTCACAGGCCATCAGAGGATCCAAGTCGGTGATGGGGGGTAACGAGTTGGCTGTGGGCCCCGCGATGAGGCGGATGACGAAGAAAACCTGCAGAGTAGAAACACGGAAGCTCTTAGGAGTCGCTGTAAAAAACACAATAAATAGCAGTAGCTGCTGCTGTACTAGAGCAGACTTTCATACCTCCTTGTGTTTCTCCATGGTGGCGTAGAGCTTCTGTGAAAGGTCATTGGACACGCTGGGCATCCCCGGTTTCTTCTTATTGGCTCGGCTCAGGCTGCTCTTGTTCTTGCTCGTCTTCTTATTGTTCTTCTTTTTGGCGTTCTTGCTGTCTCCCTTTGTAGCCTGTGTGTGTTTTAAATGGGACGTCAAACCAAAAACGCACACACACCCCCAGAAAACATTCAGACTTCTGCGTTTTTCCACTCACATCTGTGCTCTCGTTGGACGTACTGTTCTCCTCCCTCTTCCTCTCCTCTTCCTCCTGCTCCAGCTCCTTGATGCTCTCCTCGAGCACGTTGGGCCAGAAGTCGCCCTCGAAGTACGGCAGCTCCTTGGCACTGGTCAGACGATCTTCTGTCGCCTGCTTGAAGATGTCCTGTGAGATCCAAAAGCAGGAAGAAATTAAAGCAAAACCCCAAAATAAGTCTGATTAAACAGAAGAAAGGATTTTTATAAGAGGTCTCACAAATAAAAAGTCACAAGGCGCTTCAAGAGAAACAAGAAGAAAACAAAAAATGAGTAAAAATTATGCTGATGAAGGTTCTCAGTGATCTCCAGAAGGGTTTGAATGAAGGCAACTGGACTTCTTTGGTTCCTTGAAGATGTTTTGCTTTTCATCTGAGGAGCTTCTCAACAAGACAAAACTACCAATGGACACCTCTCCTCCTTATGGGCTCGATACATTTTCAATGAGACGTGCGCGACAAAGCGAAACGCGAAAAATGTGCGTGTGAAATTTTGCGCTCCTGCACGTGTCGTGCACAGGCGACCCAGCGACGCGATCCCAGAAAGTTGAAATATTTTCAACTTTTCATCGCTGTCGCTCGGACGAGGACCAATCAACGGAGGTTTCATTCACTGACCAATGAGCGGACAGGATGCTCCGTACACCTCCGAGCAAACATGGAGGAGAAGTTGATACTTGCTGTGAAGGATTTCCCAGAACCGTACAATATTTCTACCAAAGAATATAGAGATAACTCTAGGAGCACCTTGTGAAACATCATATCTACCGCTTTAAAACTCTGAACCGCTTAAATAACCTTAATTCCCTCCAACCTGACACAGCCAAACAAAACAACGGAAGATTCGATTTTGCCATGGAACAGAACGCGTCGACGGCTTTGCCGCTGGCCGCAGGTCGCCTCCCGTGTGTCAGGTAATAAAAGCGACAGTGACGAATTTCGCTGATTGCGGTCGTTTGTCGCCTCCCGTGTATCGAGCCTATTACCCCTGAGAAGTCATTGATGTTGTTAGGCTCTATTGTGCTGGAACGGTTGTTTGGATTAAGGTTGGTTTATGCTTGATGCGTCCGAGAGATTCGCACGGCGAAATTGTGTCATTTTAAGAACCACGCCCCTCCACCGCCCCTCCGCACCGCGCACCTAGGAAATTTTCTAACCACGCGGACGCGGAAAAACATGGCAGACTGGCAAGAACTAGTATGGCAGAGGTTCTTAAATACAGATATTTGTATGATTCAGCTCTCAGAGATCACCGAGATCAACATGTTGTTAATAATTCTTGGAGAGAAATAGCTCGCACTGTCGGAAAAGACGAGGACGCTGTTAAAAATGCTGGAATGCCATGTTGTAAACAACAGTAACTTTTACTTCTACTATGGTGTAGTGTTGGATGCATGCCGTAGAGCTCCATGCTGCCCCCTACAGTTTGGGAGAATATTGGCTCACCGCAGAGACAAGCCGCATGAACCGTAAACGCTGCAAGTTGTGAAGCGCGTTCCATCCGCGAGCCGCATCACCAAGCGGAAAGTGAACGCGTCAAGCATAAACCAAGCTTTAGGTGCAGGAGCCTGAAACTGTTTCAGAATTAGGTTTAGCGCTGCATTAAGGGAGCTGGAAAGTTGAAACCTGAGGTCTTCTCCTCTATGTAGGTCGGTCCCGCTGGACAAATGGCTTCACTTGTTAGGAGCTTTTTTTTAAAATTTAAGAACATTTTCTGAGGGCTTCTATTGTGCCCTTGGTTCGGTAAAGAAAGACTTGTTAAACCAAATACCTCAGTGTTCCTATAGTACTTTTAGTATATTTATACTCTGGTACTTCTGGTTATAACAGAACATTTGTGTGTTTTATGATGGTTTGCTAACAATGAGTATCTGTTTTTACAGAAGCAGGTGTCTGTGGGGCTGCCTTGCACCTTTCAGCGGAGGCTTACAGCTGTGCTTTGTCATAAACTAGTCCCGGGTCTAAAATGGCACCTGTGATTCCTTTATGTTACTAATTATTTTCACTTGCTGTCAGTCTGATTATTTAGGTCACCAAGCAGAGCTGGGATCACTACGATGCTAGCTGGATCCGTTCACCTACTGTGTTTTATGCTAAGCTAAAGCTAAAGGAGTACCGCCGGGTCAGGAGAATGACTGGGCTGGTTGCATTGCGTTTTTCCCACTCATCCAACTCTGGGACAAATTTTCACTTTTGGGTGGAAAGATACATTATTTTTTTAAATGATACCCACCGATTGTGAGAAATCTTACTTTCTTCTCTAAGTAAAATATTATTATAACATTTATAAAAAAAAGGTAAGCCCTAAAAATGGCAGACAAATGTCTTTACCACCTTATTTGTCAAATAAAAATCAGTTCTAGCTACTGAAGTGACCCCATTAGGAACATGTTCCGCTGTTCTAGATTTAAAAAGACCTTGTAATCGTGGATAATTCGCTCAGCAACGGCCTTGTCCAGCATCTTCTTGTACCACTCCTGCAGGCGTTTCGGTTTGGGGATCTTCTGGTCCAGAGGGTGACAGTGAAAGATGTAATCGTCTCCCTCGCTGGGTGGACATGCCCAGATGTGACCGGTCGTAAACCTGGCACAGGAACAGATGTTTATCACGTGCACGAACCGACTGTATCCTGTACACCTGCTCGTGGTTTTGATGGTTTTTTCCTTACCCCATTCGTTTGACATACTCCAGGTAGCCCAGGAGGATCTCGTGGTAGACGGCAGTCCTCAGGTGTCGAGGTTTGAAGAAGTGCACACTGTCCAGGTAGGAGATATACACCCGTCTCTGGTTGGGCGGCGGGCAGTCCGAGCCGTACTCTTGGACGTGCATGCCAAAAAAACACACTTCTGCTCCGTCGATGTCCTCGAATGCAAACAAAGCTTTCATCCTGTATGGAAACGATTCGGCCATCTCACCGCTGTCCACGAACCTGAGGGAAGGAAGGGTAAAGAAAACTTTAAGCTCTTCTCTGCTTCCTCATTGCAACCCCTCTACAACGCTACCACTCAATGTCATGAAACTATCCCAAAAAAATGTGAGTTTTATCATAAACCCAGATGAATCCAGTCTTTTCTCACTAAATACATTCAAGTGAGATTTAGAACAACTTCTGAAGGTAAAAGGTTTAATTCAGTTGATTTATATAGCGCCATTTTACAAAGTCACCGTTCCAGTTGAACCTACTTATCATGGCACTTATTCAGTTCTTAGTTCAACGTCTCCGATGTAAGAAAGCCCAGCAGATTGCTTCGAGTCACTGACTTGTGTCAGGGACTTTACAGCAATCTCCAGCAAGCATGTAGCGACAGTGGAGAGGAAAAGTTCCCTTTTACAGGAAGCAGAACCTGGCGCAGTACGAGCAGCCATCCGCCACGACCGAGGCCGGATTGTGGTACCTGCTGCAGGACATGATGGGCAGCAGCTCTGATTTTAGAATATTCAGCAGGTGTGTATTATATATGAATCTGAATAACTAGAGCAACTGTTGAGTTGATAAACAGCTGTAACAAGAGGCAGTAATGTGTTGAACTATGTTTCTTCGGATGGGTACAACACACCACGATCCTGTGTTTCTCTTATTATCGCTTTATTTTGAGAGGATCAAGTAAATTACATTAGCAGCAAGTTTTCATCCACCTCTGAAGGCAGAATGTACTAATCTTTTTAAGAGAACTGCAGAAAACACCATGACCACTGGCCTCACAGGCCACAGAAAGGTGATTTTTTTACACTACATCAACAACCTGCTGCAGAGATGAAACTACACTGTTCTAGAAATGTTAGTGGGGGCCCCCACAAAACCAAGTTGAGAGCCACAAATGGCCCTCGAGCCACTCTTTGGATGCACCTATTTTTAAGGAGGTTTTCAGCCATGTTTGAGTTTGTTTCTACCTGTTCTAGATCGCTTCCTGAACAGCATTAGTTTGGTCCATGACTGATGAGCTAACAGCTTTTGTAAAACTCAATATCCTCACCCACCCATTTAGGATAAAAAAAACTTTGGTCCACAGAATTAACTCATTCACTGCTAGCCGTTTCCTGATCGGTAAAGCCCTTCGCTGCCAGCGTTTCTCACCGTTTTTACTAGGGCTGCACAATACAGCGTAAATATATCGTTATCGCCATATCAGCATGCACAATATGCGTATCGCAAAGAACAGATAATTATTGCAATGAATGGTCAGCTCAAATGTTTGCTACACATAATCAAACAAATCAAATAGAGCTCTTCACCCATTTGGCCAAATGGGTGGGTTCTCATAGGTTAGATGTCTGCCCCCGAGGCAGCCAGCACTTAATTTTGATGTTAGCAAACACCTGAGTTAGCTTTGTTCTGCTCTTTAAGCCGATTCTGCTTTTCCCGGGATCCACAGATCGCCTTTTCTTGATCATTTTCTTTTTCCCTTTCCTCACATCTTTTGCTTTTCTCATTTTAATGATTTTATTATTTCTTTTTTTTTTTTTTTTTTACTCATTTTTGTTCCCGAGTTAAGTTTTTATTTATCGCAAGTGATATCGTCATTGCAATATTAATCTATATTATTGAATATCGCAGGTTTTCCTAATATCGTGCAGCCCTAGTTTTTGCTGTTTTTTTAAGAGTCACAGGACGTTGCGTGCTAGGATGATGTTGACACCAAAACAACCAAAACAAAGTGGAGACTCGCCTCTTACATCAGGAAGAATCTGCGCGTTTCAAGCGTTATCCGTTCTTTCATAATCCGTTGTTGAATTGTGATCGGCAGAAGCTTTTCCGGTTCGCGCCTCACTTTGTTTTTACAGCAGCGGCCCAAAACGATCTCCTAACACATGGATGTTCTGCTTCCTGATCACGTGACGCATGACGTATGCGGATGAAGATCAACTTTAGAGCTGAGATGTTTGTTCTCACGGTGCGGGGGCTCGTTCTGACGCTAACACAGTAAAGAAAATGCAAATGACAACTTTAGTCATCATTGGCAGTGAATGAGTTAATAATATGGCCTTTTTAAAATCAGCAGTTTTATCTTAGATGTGTTCAGACTAGCCGTTAGCTCATCAGTCCTGTTAGCTATCAAAGTTATTTACCTACACAGATGTTCAGGAAATGTAAAATTAATCATTTAAAAAGTCTGTTTCCTCGTTTTTCTTTTTCTTCCTAAAACAGAAGAAATAAACTTGACCTAATTAACCATTTATCTCTAAGCTACCATGAGCTTACCTGGACTTCATGCCCGGTTTGACCTCCACCACCTTGTCTGAGACATGGACCACACGGATGGTGACCTCTCCAGACTCGGGGTGGCTCTGCCGTTTGATGTAGTCGTTCACTCGAGTCTCCAAAAAGTTCCCCAACTTGGTCTGAGGAAGTCCTGCAGAAAACAGAACGTGTGTGTGTGTGAGGAGCCAAAGTGTTCCAGAAAGGAGATGTCACTTTAACACGTTTGAGATTTTAGCTCACAGAAAAGGTTAAACACTCTTAGGAAAAGTTAAAATACGCTATTATTAGAAAAGAAACTTAACTGGGATTAAATGGTTTGAGAAAATCGGAGGAAAATCCATAAAACAGGACAGAAAACAGCTCGACTTACTTTTGGCAGCGTATTTGTTCTCTTTCCTCATCTTATTGGCCTTTTTCAGACAGCCGTTACAGACGAAGCTGTGAGCAGAGAGGAAATAATCAGCCACTGGGTTACATTTAGGTTTCATCAATAACGACGCTCACCGAGTGGCTTTTGACCGGGAAAATGACCGTCTAAAATATGATGCTAAATGGAAAACTTCTCACATTTTAGAACACCATCAGGTACCAGTTTGTCATAAAAACCCTGTGAGACAGTTTTACCTCGTGAAAGTAAAGATATTCTGATCTGGGTGTGATTTTTTTACAGAAGATTTAACAGGTGGAGCTTTCCTGAACTTTAACAAGGATCTTGAATCCCAAGACTGATTTATCTAACTCAGGTCTGTAACGGAGCGTGTGTGTGTGTGTGTGTGTGTGTGTTAGCTTGCTCACCCTAAAGGCCATATGGTTTCATTGTGCAGGACGCAGATCTGGTGCATTTTACGACCACAGTCAGTACATTCCACAAGTCTGAGAGCGGCGAGAAAACAAGGAAGACAAAAGACAGACGTCCAAACGTTAAAAAGAAACAACGGAACGGTTCATTTGTCCCACCGGAGGACAAACAGGAAACAAAACACAAAGACGATCTCCGCTCAACCCAGTCATCATCACAAAAACGTTTGGAGTTAGAGCAGCTACTTACAGCTCTGGGTCGAGTGTGTCATTCTTCTTCTTTTGGAACTGATCCTTGTTGATGGACCTGTGAGAAGAACCAATATAAACCACTGTAATCAAGGAGATTAAAAAATGAAAATGAGACATTTGCTTTGATAGATCCGAGTTCTGTATTTGAGACCGCGGACCACAAGATTTTGTTACAGGTTAGAGAACTTGTTTGGCATGTCGCGGAAAGCTCTTCATTGGATACGATCTAACTTGTCAGAACGGTTCTCGTCTTGTTTAAAAGTAAGTTTTCAGCGTCCTGCAGCTTAAAACGGGGTTCCTCAAGGTTCAGTCTTGGGTCTACTGTGGTTCTCTATGGACATGGCTCCTTTAGGCCAGATCTTACTTTTGGTTAATGTAAATGATCAATTTTATGCTGATGATCTGCAAATGTATCAACAGTTGAGTAATGGAGGACACATTTCTGACACTTTCAGGGACTGCCCAATGGGCTATTTGCAATTTTTTTGTGTCTGAACACGATCCAAACTGATAACTGTTGGATCAGCAAAGCTTAGTCAACTTTACGGTCAGTTGACTATCGTTAGACGATAGATAGATAACCCTAACCCCTTTCATCGCACGGAGAGAGTTAACAATCTTGACATCATCTGTGATAGGAGAGCTCTTTTTAGGTCTACATTAGGGAGGACTACTTTTTTAATTTGAGGAGTATTGCTAAAATTGGACCTGCCTTGTCCAACCACCATGCTGAACTCCTGACTCTCGTGTTTATTTCATCAAGGTTATATTAATGTAATGCTCTTAAGAGTGTCCAGTGTTTGCAGGTTGCTCAGAACGCAGCCGCTCGAATACTAACAGGAGCTAGGAAATTCAAACTCATTACGCCTGTGACTCCGGTCCTAGGCCCTCATTTATCAACTGTACTTATGAACAGATCTGTGCGTGTTTCGTACCCGTGTGTGAAAGTGTTCCTAAATATAAGAACATCTCTGACCAAGCGTAGGAACAGCATCTAGCGGTAGAACAGGGGAACAGTAATTCTGAAGGTCTCAGTCATCCATGCAGATGTACGAGAGGCCACCGCATGTTTCATAAATCAGTCTTTTGACTGTTCGTACACACATTCTAAATTTCGGTCGTAGGAGGAAATATAGGAGAGTTTCTACGAACGTTTGATAAATGAGGGCCCAGGAAAGAATAGATTTTAAAGTATTGCTTTTAACAATAAATGGTACTGCACCTGCATATTTACATGAACTGGTAAAACTATGCACCTGTCCAGGTTTTGAGTTAGAGTTGCCCATTTTTTATTCTTGGCTATGTACGGTTGTATCTGTAGAGTAAATTCAATAAAAATGTTTACTTTCTATGTAAAGCAGCACTTTGACGGAAAGTGCTTCATAAATACATTTTATCATCATCATCATCATTATTATATACGCTCCAAAATGTGCATATGTCCATCTAAATCTAAATCATGAGGCCAAGACTCATGAACTTCCTGTCAGAAGAATGTTATTAGGAGTCAAGGTGAGGCTCTCAAATATAAGATAAGAGCACTGAGCCAGCTGTCAGGCATGGTGGTGGCAGCACTGTGCTGTGGGACTGGCGGTGCACAAACTAAATCGATCTTCTGAAATCATAAATGGCTGAAACTGGGACACAACTGTGAGCTCCAGTTGGACACGTCACAACTGGTTTGACTGTATAAATCAGACTAACATCTAGTTTCTGAGACGACCTCCCCAAAGACCCAACCTCAACCCTAACCTGTGGACTTTGTGTGCTTATCAGAGCCTGTTTATATAATTTCCACCCTGTTTGGGAAAAAAAAAAAATCAGTAAATCCAAATTTAATTCTGTTTTTTTTAAACATCACAGAAGTTATGTGATCCTTTAGGGAAATCAAATTTAAATGAATTAAAACCCCAAAAACCAGTTACAGTTATGAACATGACGAGTACACATCTGTAGGTACTGAGACCAGGATTAGATACAGGGGTGGACAAATCAATGATTTTCAACTTAAATGTTGTAACAGCTGATAAAATGTTACCAGTAAAACACCAGAGCACCTCAGCTCCACCCACTAACTGATGCCACTACAGAGCTTCTTTATCCAGTGTTAGTAGCGTTGATGCCGAGCGGTTTAATATATACGTGTGTGTGTGTGTGTGTGTCAGAAGAAATCAGGTGTGTAACGGTACTCACGTCTGAGGTTGGGAGGGGTCATCCCCCAGGGAAACGCTCTCGCCTTGGATTTCGTTGAAACACTTCTCACAGAAGTGGTACCTGTCAGCAAGAAGCCCATATTTTGGTGAACTACACCGTTCGCCATCAGCACAGCCAATCACAGAGAGGGCACGGAGAAGCAGTCGCCAATCAGGGCAGGGCAGGCCATGAGAGGGGGCACGCACACACAGGAGAAGGCGGAGGGCGAGATGGGTCGTCGCCAGGAGGCAGCAGCCAATCGTGATGCGGGTAAGGTGAGGGGGTGGGGGGGTGTTTTGATTTTGCAAGTAAATTTCAGAGTGGATGATTGGTCACACCAAAGCAGGCCAATGCAGACATCACAAGCGTTAAAGAAAGGAGAGAAAGAGAGAGAGAGAGAGAGAGAGAGGGGGGTGGGGGGCAAATTAAACAAAAAAAAGTTGTTACAGATCAGACGAGGACAATGGAGGCACATAGAGGAGGTGTGGGAGGGATGGACAGGAGGTGAAAAACAACCAACAGAGAACAGAGAGCCAAGGCAAAGCAAAGATTAGCGTCAGACATCCAGTGGTAAACAACAACATTACAGCAACATGAAAGACCACTAGGAGCTGTGGGGGAGCAGGGCAGCGAGGATCCAAGCTCCAAATATGAAAAGGTGAATGAGGAAAAGAATAACTCAAATGATAAAGCAACAGACACCCATCATCCTTTCTGCTAATTCATAAAGTGGGGACCTGTCTTTGATTTTCTCCCACTCCATTTGTAAAAATCAGAAATCACCAGCTGTTTTCAAGCCACCGAGTGGAGGGACAAGGAATCAAAGACACAAATCATTGCTGGAGAAGACGGGGGCCCACTTTATGAACGACAACATCATGGAAAATTCAAACAGTGAAGTGTGAAGATGGAGATGGTGCCAGGGTAACCATCTGAAGCCAAATTCAAACTCATCTGTGATTGCACTGATGCTACACTGCAGGAAATACACTCTGATGGTAGCGAAGAACACCACCACAAACTAAATGATCCAACTGGCTCAATTTATACAAGGACAAATAAACAAGGTAACAGAAATGTTCTGAATGTAGCTTTCCAGTGCAGAGAGAGCATCCACGTCCCTTACCTGTTCTGGTAACTAAAATAAGCAGCGTCACGTTGGATGGTGCACAACTGTTTTCCGTAGCAGCAAAGGGTTTGGGGGGAAAACTCAAACTGCAACAAAAAGAAAGAGAACTTCAGCATCTGCTGTGTAATAAACAATCATGTACATGTTGATTAGTCTGCAGGACGCCCCCAGCATTAACTCATTCACTGCCATTGACGACTTAAGTTGTCATTTGCATTTTTTTTTTTACTGTGCGGGCGTCGGACGAGCCCCCGCACCGTGAGAACAAACATCTCAGCTCCAAAGCCGATCTTCATCCGCATACGTCACACGTCACGTGATCAGGAAGCAGAACATCCATGTGTTAGGAGATCGTTTTGGGCCGCTGCTGTAAAAGAAGTGAGGCGCGAACCGGAAAAGCTTCTGCCGATCACAATTCACCAACGGATTATGAAAGAACGGATAACGCTCGAAACGTGCGGATTCTTCCTGATGTAAGAGGTGAGTCTCCGCTTTGTTTTGGCGTCGACATCATCCTAGTGCGCAACGTTCTGTGACTCTTAAAATAACAGTAAAAATGGTGAAAAATGCCGGCAGCGAATGAGTTAAACTCAGTATTACGAGCACAGGAGTCTGTTCTTTATTCGAATCCCCTCTAAACTTTACATGTTTTTAAGTTGTAATAACATTTTTAAGAGTTAGACCAGAGGTCTTTTATTTTGAAAAGTTTTAAAGGAAGTTTGCAACTGATGCAGTCAGCGTGATAGATTGTAAGGATGAACCAATTTCAGTTTTTAACCAAACACAAATAAATGTTGTTACACTCCTTAAAATTAAATTGTTTGTTTTCATTAGACACCTTAAACACACCAAGTGTATTGTACTAGTATGTATATACCCTCTTACTGTAATTTACTGACGACGCCCAACTCCTAGTGTGACACAATGGAACATTTATGTTTATGTTTATTCATTTAGCAGACGCTTTTATCCAAAGCGACTTACAATTTATAACCTATAGGGCATGTTGTGATCTGTGGGGGAAACCGGAGTACCCGGAGGAAACCCACGCATGCATGGGGAGAACACACAACTCCACGCAGAAAGGCCGCAGCCGAGCCGAGTTTCGAACCTGCAACCTTCGTGCTGCGAGGCAACAGTGCTAACCACTGCGCCACCATGCAGCCCACATTTGAACACTTAATTTTTTTAACCAGCAGTCCGTACCCTTATCTTAGCTGGTCTGGCTCATCTGATCTCAACCAATCGTGTTTTTTTTACCAAGGGGAAGGGGGCGTGTGTGTGTGTGTGTGTGTGTGTGTCGATGGAGGAGTGTTGTGAAGGGTTTTTTATTGTCAGACTGAATGTGGGTATGTGGGGCCTTTTTAATTTGTTAAGCACTCTGAGTTGCATGTATTGCAGGATTAAGTGCTATATAAGTTGATTGATTGATTGATTGATTGATTGATTGATTGATTGATTGATTGATTGATTGATTGATTAGGACTGGACGATAGAAAAAAATTCATATTGATCGATATCAATAATTATAGATAATTATTTTTAAAAAGTGCAGTCTTGGCCATTTGATGTCATTAATTCAAGACAAAACAAGATGGTTTTGTTACCAAACTTGATTTTTAATTAATTCTCTGCAAATGTTTCAACTGACTATGGTGTCTTTTTGTAAGACCAAAATATCGTAGCGCTAGTAAACGGGACTATTTCCTCCCCCTACCCATGTTGTAACATCTGGCTGTCTGTTTCGGCTCAACAGGGGAGGGCTTGGTGACGGAGCTTGCCTGGGTCTGTGTTTTTGACTGGTTGGGAGTAATTATTGACGCTAGCATTAAGCTACTTGATAGGAAACTTTAATTGACCCACTTTTTCCATCGCGCCACTCGCCGTCTAACGATTGATATATATATATCGTTATCGAATTATTGTCCCGCCCTAACCAACAGCTGCATCTTTGACTAGTTTTGCAAAAACAAATTTTATTAGAAGTGCATTTTTAACGTCAACAACAGCAGGGTTAGCCAATATGGTTTTAAAAAATAACATTAAAACAGCAGTCCAAACTGTCGGAAATGTTACCATGGTATCCATTAAAGCATACTTGAGTTTACATTCTTCATTTAAGCACGAGTCATCTCAGCACTCAAGCTTCCAGACTGGATCAAAAAGTGCTAAATGAGAGGAGCGCTGTGATGTTGTTGGGATGACTGGGTTTAACATCACAGCTGATGCAAACTAGCATCAAACAAACATTTTGTGTAAATTTTTGATATCTCAACCAACCTTAATCCAATCCTGTTAATACCTTGTCTAAATAAAAATGACATAAAAGCAGAAATAATGAAAACAGTTCGGCCTCACCTTCCTCCCGCAGCAGTAGCCGAGGCCTTGCATGACAGGATCGATCTCTGACTCAAACACCTCAGCCAGCTTGGAGCAGTACTTATAGACCCGTGATGTCTTCCTGTTGTACAGCCAAGCGTTGTTGAACATTAACCAGATGTCCTCGATGTACTGCCACGGATCCTCGTACTGTCCCGTGTCCAGCTTCCTCTTAATGGTGGAGAGGTCCATGGGGTTCTTCACAATGTCAAAGTAGTCCTGGATTAGAGCGGGCGTCCGGTTTAGAAGGTCAGGTCGACGTGAGGATTGGGTTTAGAAATGGGAAATTGAGGGTTGGACAGTTCAGCCAATGGCGGGGGAGGAAGAGCATCACCAACATCATCATCAGGATGGTTGGCATCCGGGGAAGGCGCGATGACAGCAATGTGGTTAACCGGGTGGGACCAAAGTAGGGAGAGAAGAGGGTGCAGGGGGACAATGTTGTTGAGCACTGCAGAGAAAAAGTTCACGTGCAAACAGAGAGACATGACAACTTCTGCCCTTCTGCTCTTTACTTTGCACCCAAAATACCCATCTGCACTGTGAGCAGCAGCCAGACGACCGAGACAAAACCCTCCAGTCCTCTACCTGCACTTTACATCATCACGCACCAACAGGAAATGACCAATTTGTCATCATAGAAAGGTTCACTCCGTTATACACACAGCTGGAGGACTGGATCTCTCCTACAGTCTGGAGGCAAGCAAAACTTCCAGGCTCGGGTGGCGAGAAGGGTGCAAAGTCAAGAAGAGACAGAGAGAGAGAGAGAGAGAGAGAGAGAGAGAGAGAGAGAGAGAGAGAGAGGAGGGAGAGAGAGAGAGAGAGGAGAGAGAGAGAGAGAGAGGAGAGAGAGGAGAGAGAGAGAGAGAGGAGAGAGAGAGAGAGAGAGAGAGAGAGAGAGATCTATGCTTATTTAGCCTAACTGGGGTCGCATCAACAGAGCCAGCAGCATGAGGAGAGATAAGACGAAGGGCCGACAGAGCCGAGGTGAGGCAAGCGCATCTGAGATGTTTTCCTGCTCCTGTCCTCCGACTCTCCTCTAGAACACGCCACAGACGAGGAACCGAGCAGAGGCGAGGAAAAGAAAAGCATTGTGCTTTAGTGGGGTGGGTGATGGAGAAAATAAAGGAATAAATTAATAGGTGTGAGATTCAAAGAGCAGGGTCCATCTCAGTGTCACCATGGCAACAGGAGTTATGAGTAAACCCTCATCTCTGAATGGAGCCACTCAGACAAACAAGCGAGGCATACTAGCCTGACAGCCTGCAGTAAACCTAAAACACACTGTGCAAAAGTTTTCAAGCGCTCCCGGTGTTCTTTAGAATTTTACTCGAGAGTCAGACTTTTGTGTAATCTTTCAAATTGGTTTTAATGTTTTATTGATCCCAGCTTTCTGAAGGTCTTTCAGCTTTTCTTCGGACTTATGCTGCTTTTTTGTTCACTCTGTCTGGCTGGAAAGGCCAAAGTGGAAGAAGGAAATCAAAGTTTCTGTCGTTTTTTTTTTGTGTCTCATGTTTTTCACCGATTCAACTACAGAAATGAGGAATTGTTCCAAGAAATTTGTGAGGGCTCCCAGTTTCCTTACATGAGCCGTTGTAGTTGACTGTTGGTGATTGCTGTTGGCAGGCGCGTTGCAAGATTTTCAAAAGTGTGGGGGATGTTGTCTGTGCCTAAAATAATTTCATGTTATTCATCTTGTTAGTTTAATTTCCATAATAGCGGAGCAGGTGTGAATTTTAGACGCGTCACGCATGTCTCCGTTTTAAATATGTTTAAACCGTTCAGAATACAAATCTAGGCTCTGTCTCGTTATATTGGTATAACTAAAGTTTGTACTGAATGAAACTTTACATTACACCATGTTGAAAAGAAAAAGATCTGATTAAATCGTTTCCCCCTCATTTACAGTCACGGAGTACAGTGCAGTGCTCATGGCTCTGGGGTTAATCACGTTTAGTTGTTTCTCTTTGCAACAATCTTCACAAGAAGGCAAAACAGTTAAATGGCAGGTTACAGATATTTAAATTTGACTGTTTATTTTGATGGATAAACTCAAGGATGTTGGTTGTTTTGAAAGAATTACCCCGACGCGCACTGATGCGCACACAGATGAGCTGACATTTTAATGGTATACGCACATCGCGGAGGTAACTAAATAAATCAAGAAAAGATTCCCATCAGAACATCAGAGCTTTATACCGGACACTGTGCTCAGCGCGGATCGGAGCGCACACGGTGGACAGTGAGCTGAAGATCTGTAAAGGAGTTCGCAGCGCAGAACCGCGGCGCATGCGGTAAGATTTCCTCCCACTGAAGCGGTCTGGAAACCCGGTCTCTCTGAGGGATGTGTCACTTGGAAAAAATGGTTGCTGATTATGAAACTTTGGCTGAATAGCGCTTGTTCCCGTCTCTAATATGGAGCCAGTCTGAGGCAGAATAGCCTCTTCAGCTCAGAAAGCACCTGTAGAGACATTTGATCACACACCAAGTTTATGTGGAGCAGAAGCGGTCGGGGTGGGGCCACGGCAGGTGAAATGTTCCTAGCCTACATGAGGTGAAACTGTTTAATTGTAACATTAATATGTTACTGGACACGCTGGTCTGGTTGGTTAGACCAGTGTTTGAAGTGGAAAAACACACACACACACACACACGCTCACACACCAATTAAAATAATGCTGATAGCGTGGACTAGAAGCCAGGTGATGGTTTACGTATTTAAATGATGATCAGGCTGCTGTAAAATGTAATCTCCATCCACATCCAGACAGAATTATCCTCTATTCTTTCTCTATTTGCTCTGCTCTTGTCTGGGCTGACGTAGCTGACGGTGCGCGCTGCGCGCCTAGCGGCTGTGACGCACATTTTATGCATTTGGAAAGGTAGGCTGGATGCTCTGCTTTTACTGGAAGATGGATTTTTTTTCTTCTCAAAAATGTCGGAGATTTTGCCCCATGAATAACCGTAAAAACTACCGGTGTGTATGTACCCTTATGAAAGAGTCGTTGAGAGGTAAATATTAGAAGTGCAGGTAATGCATTCTGGTGCCTATAATGAATGAAAAATGAATGAAAATTAAATTGTGAGTTTTTCCTTCATATTTTAGAAATAAAAATGACGGGGGAAAAAACGACGGGGGTGTCAGAGCTTGGTCCGCATTGCCGGCAGTAAGTCGGGCTCGTTCCCAGTGAGAGTTGGACTCCGCCAAGGCTGCCCTTTGTCACCGATTCTGTTCATAACCTTTATGGACAGGATTTTTTAGGTGCAGCCAAGGTGTTGAAGGAATCCGTCTTGGTGGCCTAAGGATTGAGTCTGGTTTTGCAGATGATGTAGTCCTGTTGACTTCATCAGAACGTAATCAGAATCTCCGGCTCTCACTGGAGCGGTCTGCAGCAGAGTGTGAAGCAGCTGGGATGAGAATCAGCTTCTCTAAATCTGAGACCATGGAAAAGGGTAGAATGCCTTCTCCAGGCCAGGGATGAGGTCCTGCCCCAAGCGGAGGAGTTTAAGTATCTCAGGGTCTTGTTCACGAGTGAGGGAAAGCTGGAACGCCAGATCAGGTGGATTGGTGCTGTGTCTGCAGTGATGCGGGCATTGTACCGATCTGTCGTGGTGAAGAGAGAGCTGAGTCAGAAGGCGAAGCTCTCGAATTACCGGTCGATCTACGTTCCTACCCTCACCTACGGTCACGAGCTTTGGGTAGTGACCGAAAGAACAAGATCGCAGATACAAGCGGCCAAAATGAGTTTTCTCCACAGGGTGGCTGGGCTCTCCCTTAGAGATAGAGTGAGAAGCTCTGTCATCCGGGAGGGGCTCTGAGTAGATTAGCTGCTCCTCCACATCGAGAGGAGCCAGTCGAGGTGGTTTGAGCATCTAGTTCGGATGCCTCCTGGATACCTCCCTGGTGAGGTTTTCCAGGCATGTCTAATCGGGAGAAGACCTAAAAGAAGACCCAGGACACGCTGGAGAGATTATGTCTCATGGCTGGCCACGGAACGCCTCAGGATTCCCTCGGAAGAGCTGGCCCAAGTGGCTGGGGAAAGGGAAGTCTGGGTCTCCCTGCATAGGCTACTGCAACCGCTACCCGACCCTGGATAAGCAGACCAAAATGGATGGATGGACACTGGTAACCATTTTAATACATATTTTATTGTTAAAGCAACACTAAAACGTTTTAACACTTTAAGTCACTGCTTTCAAACTGGTTTCAGTGGTTCTTGAGCCAAAATTTGAGCAGCTTCACATCTGCTGGCCAGAAACTTGCACTTAGATTTTGTGGTTTAGGTAGGAACACTAGAGGGAGGTCTCTACTTGCTTTATGGCAACAGCAGTTTACTTTGCTGGCAGCTAATCTAGACGCTAACAGTTAGCCTTTTCAGTTCACTGACCGTCAATAAAAAGAACCAGAAGAAAAAGAAAATGAGGAAGTTTGCGTTTTCTGTTAGCATCATGGCAGAGCCTGGAAGTAAAAGTAAAGAGTGGAATGTCTTTGGAGGTAAAGATATAAAAGCAGAGTGAACATCTGCGTGGTCTACGATAGTTTGAGGGAGTTTAAGGAGGCTACAAATTCACAGACTGATTGTGACCTGGCTTTGTTGCTACTGGACTTTTAAGTGATAATATTTTTTGTCAAACAGTGAGGATCTTTTTACTTTGTGGTTTTAGTTGGATCGGGTTAGCGATGGCTAGTAGTTAGCGTTAGCTACAGTAGTCTGCAGAAGGGTTGTCAACGACAGTTGTACTTCCACTTTCAACCAGTAGGAGGGAGGAGCAGCAAACAATTTGTGTTGCTTTAAATGTAAAACAATGTTGAGATGTTTGCCATATAACCCACTGTTAATCTGTAGTCAATTATTTTTGCTTTAATATTAAATTTAATATTAAAAATAGAATAAAATGCTTTCACACTAAACATGAGAATATTCAGAGAGGTTGGGGGACAAACTGACACAATTAGGACTGAGGCAAGACAACTTGCACCTTTGTCACTATTGTTTGCAGTAAGGCAATATGCCCACCTGCAACTCAGATGTAAATAAAACGGTAATAGTATCTTGGTAAATGGAAAATTATTACAGCTTTGTGTCTCAGTGAGATCCTGGATTTAGTATCAACGCATTCACTGCCATTTTCTTTACTGTGTTAGCGTCAGAACAAGCCCCCGCACTGAGAGAACAAACATCTCAGCTCTGAAGCTGATCTTCATCCACACACGTCAACACGTCACGTGGTCAGGAAGCAGAACATCCACGTGTTAGGAGATCGTTTTGGGCCGCTGCTGTAAAAAAAAGTGAGGCGCGAACCGGAAAAGCTTCTGCCGATCACAATTCAACAACGGATAATGAAAGAACAGATAACGCTTGAAACGCGCGGCGTCTTCCTGATGTAAGAGGTGAGTCTCCGCTTCGTTTTGGTTGTTTTGGCGTCAACCATCGACATATAAATATTGGACAAAGGGTTTCCATAGTCTCCAATAATAAGTTTTTGAGCTAAAATGGGAGGTGGCCACCACCGCCATTTTGACCGTGTCACAGGTTCCGTCAAGCCCAGACAATTCCACAAAAGGGAAGAGAGGTGGAGCTGAG